CTGCCATCGGGAACGACGGTCCTTTGTACGGCACCTTGAATAATCCTGCGGATCAGATGGACGTGATCGGAGTGGGTGGCATCAACTTTGAGGTGAGCATTTATTCCTTGTGAGAATTAATTTTCTTCGTATTAGCGCCGACTGGTCGATTTTTTAAATGAAAAATTCTGAGTTTTCATTGAGGTAATGAGAAATGCTGCGAACTCCTGACTGAGCCTAAGAAGTCTGTTTCTTCGGACGATTTTTTTTTTCAAAATTAAATTCAATTTAAAATTAAGCCTCCCGATTTTGCAATTGTTTGGTTCATGGATATCGAATGAGCGTAACACATATTGCATAGAAATTTATAAAGCCGGGATTCAACTTTTGAACTTTCAGTCTTCTGAGTTGTGGTAATTTCATTTTTTTCAGTTTAATGATTCCAACGACCAGAAAACAACTGGACCTTTTCAACTCAAACCTCCCCAATCAAAAATCTTTCAAATGATGATTTTTATTCAGTCCCTTTCGGAATTCTCTCGAAAGGAATGTTTACCTGGACCTTCTTAACTCAAAACCTTTCAACTCTGACCCTGTTCAACTCAAATTTTTCAAAAATAATGAATGAAAATGTAATTTTGAAGTATTTATTGTTGATAATTTTTTTTTCTGCAGGGCAGTACTTGATTTTGTTCTTGATAATCTGTCCAAAGAGTTCTCAGCCGTCCTGTATCTCATTCATTTTCCAATGAGAACACCGAAATTCGCCTCCTACCCTGGAAGTTATGTTCATCTATTTTCAATTGTTTCAGGATTTCTAGTATTTATCATTGACAATTTTTATTTTATCTACTGTACTTTACTTTCGGAAGGATAGGTTTTGAGTCGAAAGAGTTTTCATCCACCCATTTCTCGTGTCTTTTCCAATGAGAATAGAGTATATGGAGTAAGATACCGAAATTCGCCTTCTGCCTAGGAAGTCATCCATTTTCAATTGTTTTTGAAGGTTTCAAGTAATTATCGCTGAAAATTTGAAATTTTTCTGCAGGACAATATAGCGAAGTTCTCGAGTCGCGGAATGACGACGTGGGAGCTCCCAGCTGGTTACGGAAGAGTCAAACCCGACATTGTAACTTACGGCTCATCCGTGAGTGGGTCATCCATCAAGGGAGAATGTAGGGCCTTGTCTGGGACATCAGTAGCATCGCCTGTAGTTGCTGGAGCAGTAACTCTGCTTGCCAGTGGGGTTTTGCATAGAGGATCAGCAGTGAACCCCGCCAGCATGAAGCAAGCCTTGATGGCGTCTGCTCGGAGATTGTCTGGGATCAACATGTTTGAACAGGGTCATGGAAAGCTGGACCTGCTCCGTGCTTATCACGTGAGAAATCTTGGACTATTATGCATTTGTATAGTTGGTTAACATCCTGGCGCCTCGAAATGTTTGGGAGTAAACTTCCGTTGCACCGAATCTCGTTTCAGCGAATTTTATATTGAATCGATTCTTTTTTCTAAACTCTAACAGTTTCTTAGTAACTAATTTTTTTCCGGGTTGGAAACCTGCAATAACCATGAATCTCATTATAGCAATATTTTCCAACACATTTTTTCTCAAATCCCTGGGAATTCATTCTCATGATATTTTAATGTAGTCCTAGTTTGGAAGAAAATGTTGCGTGAGAAAATTGTTTCCAAGTCCCAGCAGAAGTTTAAAGAAAAGGTAAAGAAAGGGGCAAGTATTTTTTCTGCATTGCGAAATACCGAATGAGTAATGATCAAATAATTGAAATCGAATCTGGAATGCTCTAATAAAAGTATAAAACTTTTGTGACCAACTCGATTATGGGACCCGAATATCAGGGGCGAATGTGCACCAATTCAACTAACCCAGGCGAATCATTGTTCATCAGTGAGCCTCTTGAGACTTTTTCTTACTAAAGGTCTGCCTGATTTTGTTTTCCTCGTAAATTACTGTATAAATATTTCTAATTTCCATAAAAGAGGGATACGAAGATTAAAATATGGTATGCTATCGATGAATAATATTAATTTAACTTCGTCAGTGTGTTCGTGATGCTCAGACGATGTCCCGACGAAGACCCAAGAAGGTGAATGCTAATTAATTAAGATCGTTCCCAAGTTACGTCTTGTCTGTGCTCACGTTAAATGAGTTTGTGCTTATGTCTCGGAATGACTCGGTTTTTTTTTTCTTCGTGAAATTTCTATTGATTCGTCGGGTTTTTAGTTGCTGAATACGTACCAGCCGCAAGCCAGTCTGAGTCCGAGCTACTTGGACTTGACCGAATGCCCGTACATGTGGCCGTATTGCTCGCAGCCGTTGTATTATTCCGGGATGCCGACAGTGGTGAACGTCACCATTTTGAATGGAATGGGGGTGTCTGGGAAGATCGTCGAACAGCCAGTGTGGAACCCTTATTTACCTCAAAATGGCCACTTTCTGAAAGTCAACTTCACTTACTCGGAAGTTCTTTGGCCCTGGTCGGGCTATTTGGCGGTTTCTATCTCGTAAGTGCTTCATAAGTGATTCTGTTTCTTCGTTTTCCTTTTTCTTTCTTCACGTGCAAGTGAGCATTTCGTTTATAGCAGTGGTTGTTTTGAACTTTTGATGCTGGCAATTTATCAAATTTAATTTATTGGGAGGAATCATTAGTGTTTATCCTTTTTTCTCTGTCGAGTTATTTATTTTAATTCCTCGTGAAATTTAGTTTCTAGAGTCGTCGCTTTGTGATGCCAATAAGTGAAGAGAATTGATTTCGTTGGTTAATGTTTTCAAACAAAAATATGAACTGTGCAGAAAATATTTCAACCTATTCTTGGGTGTTGAAATTTTAATCTTGGTCCGAAGAATACTTCTTGAGCACAGAAATAAATCTATCGAGTTCACTGCAAATGATGTGCTGTCTACGTTCATCATTTTCTGCAACAGATGAAATATTTACTACAATATTTGTCGTCAATTTTACGGTTACAGAAGTTATTGAAGTGTGAGGATGTTCCAAAAGCGGGTATGACTGCATTTCTCACGAGGAAGTATGATTGAAACTCTGAAAGTAATCCCGTTACAGCAATAAATTGGGAGAATGCAGAGCAGCACAGTGATTTCTCTACAGCAATGACGTCCACTGTGACTGGTTTTAAATTATTGCGTTCCTACGTGAAGTCGGATCACTGACATCTTCCAGAGAATTAATCTTGATTTTTTCTTTTTTCAAAACTCAAAGGGTGTCGAGTGAAGCGAAGGGTTGGGAAGGCGTGGCCCAGGGCCATGTGACCCTAGTTGTTGAATCCCCACCTCTGGACGGAGAAACGGAGCCGAGGAGATCGAATTTGACGTTAGCATTCACACCAATTTCAGGTTGGTGTAAAAAAAAAAAACCTTGTATTTCTTACTGTTACGCGAACTGACGAATTTTTAATTCGGAATACAGTGTTCCCCGAAGCATACGATAAGTTTTCTTCTTTTTTTTTTTTTAAAGCCTCGAGGTCTTAATTTTTTAAAGGTTTTTTCCGTTGTGAAGCCCGGAAGTTGTAATGAAAAAATATCAAATTTGTGTACGAATACAATCAGGCCATTATTCGCTATAGCAGGAGTCCTTTTTCCTTCTATTTTCGAAGATCCCGAATTTGTGAATTCATTTGTCGTTGATGTTGAATTTTGATGCGTCTTATTATGTTTGAGTGAATGCGGTGTGCAGTATTTGGGTGAAAGTAACTGATTTTTGGTCAAGCTACTTATTTAGTCGACATTTGCCTGTCACACATTTTTGGTTAATTATTCATAATACAGTAGAATCTCGTTGCAAATTACAACGAATCTATTCACGACGAATTGATGCTTGCAACGATTTTTTTGGTCCCTGTGCAATATCCACGATGTCTTTTTAATTTCGTTTCAAAGAATTTTCTTTTATAACGAAGCTTTTCTATGTCCCAACCGCTTCGTTGTAACGAGTTTCTACTGTATTTTCGCGTATTCTGCGAAGTTTAATGTTTTAGTGCGACTAATATTTTTTATTGCTTCAGGTGAACTCTCAGCAACGAAATTCGAGGGACCAGAAAATATTCTTTGGGGAGAAAACCCTATGGGACCAAAAAAATAATTTTTTTTCGACAGGGGAAATGGGTGTAGGAACTAGGAAGCGACCAACTTTGTTCTTTTTCAAACTATAATTTACAACATTCAAATCTAAAGTACTTTTGTTGATCCTTACGAGGGCTTTTGTTTGAGCTGGTTTTTTTTTCGATGGATGAGTCTTCGATTTCCTTCAAATCATCCTCGAACTCTTATTTTCTTATGTTTACGTCGTATTCTTGAGAAAACGCGATATTTCACGAATGATCTTCAAGCGTTATTTCAAAAGAACCTAACTCTTCGGAATATGGCATAATATTTGATGAAAATTAGCGGCGGATTACATGAACTAAAGGATGATTTGCGTTACTTTCCAGGGACATGTATCAACATCTGCGGAATGCCGGTTATTATGTGGAAGTGCTCGGAGTCCCGTATACTTGCTTCGATGCCCAGAATTACGGGGTTCTGCTGGTGGTTGACCCCGAAGAAGAGTTTTTTCCTGAGGAAGTTACGAAGCTGAAGCGAGATGTTGAAAGTGGTAGCTTGTCCCTACTTGTTTTCGCTGATTGGTGAGTGACAT